AAATTGGATTTAATAAAATATATTAATTAATAAATATATTTTATAAATTATATGTGTTATAATAAAAATTTAATTAGGTTAGAAGATTGATTTGCTTATTTTTATATAATTTTTAAGGTTAGATATTAACAATGCTTAGCGATCATAGTAAAAACCTATGCTTAGAGCTACTAATAAAAAATATTTTTGGGACCTTACCTATATAAGTATTTTCCGAGGTCCTTTTTCATTCCTTTGATCTTTTTTTTTGTTCCTTTGATCTTTTTTTTTGTTCCTTTTCAATCTTTATTTCATTCTTTTGATCTTTATTTTGTTTCTTTGATTCCCTTTCCTTTATTTTCACCTCTTTCATTTCCTTTTATTTCTTTTTATTTCTTTTTATCCCTTTACATTTCTTTTATTTTTTTATCCCCTTTACAGTTCTTTTTCATTTCTCTTTATTCCCCATTTCTTTATTGTCCCTTTTTTATTCCTTTTATTCCTTTTATTTCCACTTCTTTTGCCTTTTTTTGTATCATTTACTAGCTTTAATATCATATATTGAATTTATAAATAAAAAGCTTGAAAATTGAAACACGTTTTACAAAAAAAAAAGATTATCTAAACAAATAATGAAAATTTAATTAATCACGTGATAAAGGGTAGTGATGACATCGCACGTGCGATGAATAAATTCTCTCTTACTAATATTATACAGTAAATATTCACATACTATACAAGAAATTTAGTTGTTTGATTATTATTGTTTAGTATGACAAAAAATTATTATTTATTGCATTTGTAATGTAAACAACAAACAAAACAAATAAAAAATGATAATCACATGAAATTGGCAATACAGTCAACTCCCTCTATAGTCACTCCCGTTATAGTCACATTCTACTATATAGTCACACCAGTTGAATGTTCAAAACACTTTATTATTAAAATCTATCCTATATCAGTCAACGGAAATGTCATTTCACGTGTTGATCACTAATTAAAAATTGATCGGCAAATAAAATACCTAAATAGTCATGATTAATACAACGTGATTTTTTTTTATGCAACGTGGCAAAAATTTTTAACGAACCTTTTTTTTTATATTTTCGTCTACACTCTTCAATGTTTTTTTTCATAATACAATACTTTTACAAAAAACTTTATTATAGCTGCTTTTCTCCTATTTTTTTGGTTTTATCTCCCAGATGCAACCCTTAAACAAACGTTAAACTTTATTTTATATTACTAATTATATGCAATTTTTTACGCCCGATCAAGTTACTTAAGCGTAAAAAGGTGATTGGGATAGTAATTTTTATGACAATTGCAGAATTTTTGGTTTATTGCAATAATATTAGTTAAATTAAGCATATAACTAACACAAATAAATATTTTTTTATTAGGAAAAAAGCGCATTTTATTTGTCCTTATGATAATTCCACCACTCCCTTACTTTTTTTTTAGTCCAAATTTCTGACAAATGTTCACAAACAGAAGAAATAGCATCGTCTGGCAGTTTATCTTTATATACTTTCAATGCAGAAAGTATTTCCATCTTCTCCTTAGTAGTTCGATGCTTTTTTTGTTTAAGTTGTGGATTGGTTGTATCGGGTAGGTAGTCTTCATTCAAAATTTCATCTGTATCTCTTTGTTGTGATTGCAAAGACATGGTAACAGATTGATTGATTGATTTTTTTTGGTTATTGTAATCTTTTACTTTCGTTCTAACCACTCCTACCGCTCTTCTACCTTTAGTATTTCTATTTTCTATCTTTAAAACTTCCTGTCGATATATTCCTTTAATTCTTTCTAATCCATTTGGATAGCATGCAATAAGACGATCAAGCCCCTCCTGATGAATTTCTGTAGGTTTATATTTTTGAAATAATTGGTGGGATAATGGATTATCCATTTCAAATATTGCTACTAGATCGTTAACGAGCTCCCATAAGGACTCTTGGCGTAATTTAATTGCCCTTTCACTATGTGAAATTGAATTATCATTAATATACTCACTCATTAAAAGATCTATTCTTTCTCTTTCACTTTGGGATGCTTTTATTTGATTTTTAAGATTTTTTTCGTCAATAACATTTCCACTTACATTTCCTTTGATAAACCTTACTCCAAATGTCTCAAGGGCCTCATCAAATCCAAAACAAACGTGATGTAGACCACCATCAATATCATGTGGAATTTTGAAAGCACTACAATGATTTAATTTTTCTTCTAATTGGGGATGAGCTGCTATAGTGGCAAGAAAATGTGCAATAGCCGTTGTATAGTTTGATTTTGCCGCACTTGCATAAAGGGGTCCAGCTGCAGATAATGAATCTCGTTGTAATCCAAAATTTCCAACGCGCATTCCCATCCGATGAGCTTTCCAAATTCCAGCCCATTTATAATACAAATACCAGATCTGAATACAAGTGAAATATAAATATATTAATTTTTTTAGAAAAAAAAGTGTCTGTGTTGTTAATTTAATAAAATGATTACCTTAAGACAAATGTGCTTGTTTTTTTCATCATTCATTATTTCAGAAAATAATATTTCTTTTTTATTAACGTATATATTTATTGCTACTCCTACTGCCACCCATATAAGATCTAATACCCGTGCTGTTGAGTGATAATCTATTGCAGATTCAAACTTATCCAAAAAATGAACACCTAGACGGGATGCTAGACTTAATAGTCCATAACTAGAGAATAGTACCAATAATACTGAACAAAAGTCCTTGGATGTATGCCACTGACCTAAAAGAGGTCTTATATATGGCCATTTTTCTCGACATTTAATTAATCGGCGAAATATTGCTTCATCTGCTACAATATCTAGAAAAGAATCACTTTCCATTGCAAAATCTTTCTTATACATTTCGGCAACATGGAATATTTCTTCATCTGAATTTGGATTTGATCCTGGTTCTAGGATTACAATATTGGGAGATTCACCACAAGATCCATAATCTAACTTATTAAGTATTTCATGTTTAATTGTTTCTGCATTGAAATTCGTATTATATGTGAATTCTTCATTAATTTTTTTAAAATTTAACAATTTACATATGATTTGTTGAAATATTGTTAATGTATTCTCAACACCCTGATTCATTCCGAATAATAAGGTTTCAGCAGTTAATTCAATAACCTGTTCTGGACCAGTTTTTACTTCAATTGGCAACTGAATTTGAAAAGCCATTCGAAGGGTTGCATGAGAACTGCCACGAGTAACATCGTAAATATTACCAAATTTGAAGGTTTTTTCTTTAAAATCGATATTATCGATGATAGCTAAATTCCAAATATTATTTCCTTTAATTAGACGTTTTGATGGATCTGTTGTATCCATTCTAATATTTGCAAGTTGTCGTTCACGTCGATCTGTATGAGATATTACATGGCAAACTTTCAATAATTGTCGAAAATAGCCTAATAATCGTGGCATACGACTAAAACTAGCTAAAATTCGAGGTAGCCAAACTTTCAGTTGAGGAAAAGCTAGATTTAATAATATTGATATTATAAATGTTACAGTTTTTGTTATTTCTTCTGGAATTATAATTTTTGGTAATTTGTGATGTTTTTTTCGTTTAATATTGCATACTTTCATCTTTTTCTGATATAATTCATTAATCATTCCAGAAAAAAAATCATTCAAAAATTTTGGGAAAGCATTATAATATTCTTGAATAGTTTGTGGAGATTCTATAGCAGATTTTTTTGAATAGATATTTAATCGTGAGTCCCATAATTTTTGTCCTAATGTACATCCAAATTCCTGTTAAAAAAATAAAAAATAATTAAAATTAAAAATATTTTTTTTTAAAAAAAAAATAAGAAATATTTGCCTTATAATTATTAATTTCATTTTTTTTAACTTCTTTTTCTTTATAAATTTTTATAAAAAGAAATTTTATCATAAATAAAGTAGGAGGTTTATCAAGAATAATTTTTTCTTGTTCTTCATAATTTATTGACGTTCTAGTTATTGGAATCGGAATTGTGGTATCAAAATCATCATTAGATGCTAGTGGACGAAGAATTTCAAAAGTTTTAACTAAAATATTTTTTTTAATTTCATTATTATCCATTTGTGCAATTTTTATTAATAAATTTCCTATAAATTCAAGTCCTTTTGTTATATCACCTTCATGTAACTTTTCGGTAATACACGTTGTTGCACTCTTTCCTCTAACTCCAGAGCGGTGGTGAACATGCCCTCCTAAATTTTCATAGCATATGCAACAAATGCTTTGAGATCTTTTAATATTCTCATAAGCTCGATTACATAAATTTGGATATGATTGTAATGCCTCACACTTATATTGTCCAATACATGGTACTTGAATATTTTTCTTATTTAAATACCAAGAATGTATAGCGCATCCTGCACCTCTGGAAAAGAAAGTTACATATTTATTGCAAGAAATACATCGACGCCATTGAATAATTCCTTTATTAAAATCTTTAATTTTTTTACTTGATGATTGATGTAAATATTTATTGTCAAATTGAAAGTGTGAATCACATACTCCTAACTTCGATAAAATACCATCAACCTCCTTAATAGCATCCCTATCAACTTGCCATGTGCCAATTAAATTGCGAAGTTGTCTTAATTTTCCTGTTCCTTCACATTGCCGAAATTTTCCTCCATGTAATCAATAATTACACATGATGTAAATTTTTGTTGTTCTAAATCGTCTATAACTTTATCCATTTCATCACAAATTTCGTGTTCTTTGATTTTCTCATCAATATCCTCAAGTTCTTCGAAGTCTATGTCACTAAAGGCACTAGTATTATCAGTATTATCATTAATATAATTTATTATTTCATTAAACTTTAGTGAAACTCTTTCAGACTCACTAATTTCGTCAAAACTTTCTTCTTCTGACATATTTACAATAAACGGTAAAAAAAGAGGGCGATTATATTGGGATATTTCAGTTTATATTTTTTTTAGTCACTAAAAATAGGCAAAATGTAACTGAGAAATGCAACCCTTTAACAACAACTTTTGCGAAATTTTTTTCAATAAGATTGTAAAAGTGGTCATTAAGTTTTACTTTTATTATTTGAGTTAGAGACGTTACATTGTGTAAATGCAGTGTTACATTTGACCTGCATTATTTCATTTTAATGAAATTTAGGCTGGCATTACGCAATTGGCCAAAATTAACAAAAATTTGGCCAGAATTATGATTTATTGATCGGCAATTTTAATTGATTTAACTAATTTTAGCTAACTTTAAATTATATATACACACTATATAGTTGAAGACAATGCTACGCTAGAATTTTTATATTGTCAAACATATTAAATAAAATTTGATTTAATTTTTGGGGACATTTCCACTGACTGATATAGTCACAATCTATCTATAGTCACTATCACACCTGTCCTCAAAAATCTTATATTAAAAAGAACCGTTTATAATCACAGTTATATAAAAAATATATTAAATAACTTGGCATCTAATAATTGTACAAAGATGTATTATAGCTTGTTAGAATCGTCTCACTGAGACAAATCGAATGGTGGTAGTTTTATCCTTTTCCTTTGCTAGTGTTTATGGCCAGACCACCCATTGCCTCTTTTTGAGACTAATCTCAGGTCTGTGTCCTATCTAAGGTTGCTTGCCGAAACCTAGGGGTTTAGGCAAGATGGCATTTCGCCAAAAAGCAAAATTCTGCCGAAACTATATTAAAGTTATATTAAAAAACTGGCGAAACTTTGGAAAAAGGTGAAACTGCCGAAACTTATTATAAATGCCGAAACTGCCAAAACTCTGCTGAAACTATAATAAATCTATAGTAAAATTTTGACGAAACTAATCGTAGGATTTTGAAGAGGTTTAGACAAGCAACCTTAGTCCTATCATCTTCATTGGGCAACCATTATACCGAGTACTTAATTCCTCAGGTAACAGCACCACTATAGAAGACATCCCCCATCGGGCCACTTTAGGCTGATCTGAAGCTAGGTACACGCCGCCTACTCATCCTATACCCATTGCATGATACTGGTACTCAATTTATTTTACGACCTTTAGAGAGCACCTACTTTCATGGAGGACTTTCGACAGGTAACATCAACCATTTAGTACCCTTCCATACCACCATTTTAGGTACTAAGTCTCACTTAAAGGCCACTACAGCCCACGATTACCTAGCACCGATAGTACAGTTGTTTACCCAAGTGGTATACTTTGTAGTGACCATTTGGACAGGAAGTAGCAGGCATCTGTCTAGGATCACCCCTTATGGTGGGTATCAACCATCAGGGATCACCAACCAGGACCCAAGGAATAGGAATCGAACCCCATAACCATGCTACTTGTTCTGTGCACGAACACCTTGGTTGGTCTAAGACCTAACAGAAGGTCTAACTACCACTAAAACATTGCACTCTCAGCTTTACCATCTAGGACGACCATCTAGCCATTACTGACTTCAAGTGGTATCGTGGAGTGACCACCCAGACAGGAAGTCCCCCCAAGGTATAGTAGTGACCTTAAGGACAGGACTGCGCACATGCCAATGGCCTCATAGGGAACGTTAGAAGGACACTATGACCCCTGTCTCTTATACACATCTAGATGTGTATAAGAGACAGGTATAATACTTATGGAGNCTATGACCCTTAGTTGAAATGTGCGGCCTAACCGTACACACTAATTCACCATGATGCAGTCCAACTACACTAATCCCTGTACCTTCACGCTATTGGTTGTAGCGTCCGCAGTAAAATTCTTTTTTATTTCCGTGGTCAAGGGAATCGAACCTGCGACCTCACCATACTCAGGCTTAATGAGGGTCTCAGTGATTAACCACCGAGATAGGGTGACCAACCCTAGTGGTAGTTTTATCCTTTTCCGATCACTGACTGACGAGTTATTCAACAAAATGTTAAACATCGGCATTATAATATTTCTTGATTTACGTTTACTGCGCCATTAACATTTTGCTAGATTTCTCGGTACCTAGTGATTGTAAAATGACGATTTATAGCTCGTTGGAATCGCCTCATCGAGACGAATCGAATGATGGTAAGCTCATCTCTCTGTGATCAATATTGACGGAGTAATTACTTAAAAACCATTTAATATTTTTTATTTCGGAAATTGATCTAGTGATTGGATTTCGATGTATCTTATGCCATTAGATTCGTCTCATCAAGACGAATCGAATGGTAGTAAGATCGTCTTTCTAGGATCAATATTGACAGAGTTATTACACAAAAACCATTAATATTTTTTTAATTTCGGAAATTAATCTAGTGATTGGATTTCGACGTATTTTATACCATTAGAACCGTCTCATCAAGACGAATCGAATGGCGGTAAGATCATCTCTCTACGATTAATATTGGCGAAGTTACGATACAATAAAGTTTTAAGTATAATTCTGGCTAAAATTATGTTAATTTTTGGCCAGAATTATGATATACAAATATAAGAAATTCTTTATATAGTCACATCTCTTTATAATCACCAAATATGGACTGTTCCAAATGTGTGACTATAAAGAGAGTTGACTGTAGTTATTGTTGATAAAATTATTTTTCATCTGCAAATTAATTAGTTTTACCAATATTATTGGTCATATGTATATAAATAATCACATATACAGGAATTTGATTGTTTAGATCATTATTGTTTAGAATGATAAAAAAATTTTTTTTAGAAAAAAATTAATTAATAATCAATTATCATTAAAAAAGAAGATAAAAATTCAGTGTCTATTGATTCAATTCAGTATGCTTATATGTAGATTTCCAACTGGATCTAAGAAGAAAAAATTTAATTACTTTTTTTTATAAAAAAAAAATAATGGTTAAGCAATATTAAAGAAAAGAAGAAAAAATTTAAAAAGAAAAAAAAAATATTAGCTTTAGTAATCAAAAATCAGGTATTCACAGCCTCTAGCATTATTTCTATCTCACAATTTTTTTCAAAAAAAAAATATAAATATAAATGCCAGTTGATCGTATGGGTGGATGACCCTAGCATTACTCAAAAATTTTCACCTATATAACTTAATTTAGCCTGATTGTCAAGCATTTATTAATATAAATTTTGATAATTAAAAAATTCATAATTTCACCATAGTGACATAAAATGATAAGTGTAATACAGAACAAAATTTTGCTGATTACTAATTAAATTTGGAAAATTGCAAAAATTTAGCCATTAGGAAATATGATCTTATATTTGTAAAAAGGAGGTGGCTGAAATTCATGTGATACCATAATTATGCACTTTAATTGGAATGCTTTTTTTTTATAACTTTATATTTTATTTCAAAACTTTTTAATAGTGAGAAGCATCAGGTTATTGTTTTATTACATAGATGTATTCTATGGTTGGCAAATCATAAATTAAATTATTTATTTTAATGTCTAACATTATAAAACTATTTATAATTTAATAAAATTACATTTTGAAAAAAGTTAATAATTATTGAAAGGAATTGTTGATTTTTTTTTTTGTTTCAAAGTGCTGTAATTTATTTAAAAACAATATAATAAAATAATACAATAAAAATAAAAATAAGTAAACTAACTAATTTTATATAAAAATGAATGATAATTATTTCATTGGTGCTTAATAATTGCTTAAGATGAAATGATTAATTGATCAACATTCTGGTTTGTTTGCAATGATGCAATACTTGTACTTGTGATCACCATTTTTGCACATAATGTATTTTGCATAAATATTGTTACCATATTTATACTAATAAAGGCGTTTAATAATAATAAAAAAAGAAAATAAGATATTTACTTTATCTTTTACAATTAGGGAGAATTTTGGTATAATGAGTCAATGTATTGATAAAGGTAAAGTATATAACATGAATAGTAATATAAATTAGAATTATTCAAATTTTAAAACAAACTTGCAATATAATAAAACTAGTTTCGTGTAATACCAAAGAATCTGAAGGTAAATGTAATACACAAAACAAAGTTGAAATATTAAGAATTTTATAATTTAATTGTAAATACTGTAATCATAATTAAACCAAATTTGCAATATAACAAAACTAGTTTCCAGTAATATAGAAGAATTTGAAGAACGTAGCACTGGAGAATTTGAGGGAAGTGGCACTGAAGAATTTGAAAGAAGTAATATTGAGGAATTTGAAGGAAGTGATACCAAGGAATCTAAAGGTATATCAAACAAGATGAAGTATTAAGTTTTTATTTATAAACAACTCAAATACTACAAATATAATTTAAACTAACTATATTATATAAAAATTATTAAATATTTAGCTTGTAAGTTAATATAATGAATTACTTATTATTTTTATTGTATTCTATATAACAAAATAATTTATTTAATGATTAATAATACTGTAGTTGGTAAGTTATCTTATTCTACATATTATTCAAATAACTAAGTTCTTAAATTCTTTATTTAAATAACTATATAATAATTAATTATATTACAGATGGTAAGTTACAATATATATATTATATTTATTTGTTCAATATTTTACATAATTCAACTAATTATACTTAATTTAAATAACTAGATTGTAAGTAATATATATATAATTTACAGTAAATACTTTTATATTATCTTATATCTAACTAATTAATAATTAATAATACTACAGGGTGTAAGTTATATGATATCTATATTTATATTATTTGTACAATCCAATCTAATTAATTTTTTTATTTTATTTTGTAATTTATTTTAGTTGGTAAGTCTTAAGTTATTTATTTAATTCTATTATTACTTATTGTTATAATATTTACATATAATTTAAACTATCTAATTTCTTTATTTAAAAAATTATTTTATAATTTATTTTAGTTGGTAAGTCTTAAGTTATTTATTTAATTCTATTATTACTTATTGTTATAATATTTACATATAATTTAAACTATCTAATTTCTTTATTTAAAAAATTATTAAATAATATAGGGAGTAAGTTATTTATTTAATTCTATTATTACTTATTGTTATAATATTTACATATAATTTAAACTATCTAATTTCTTTATTTAAAAAATTATTAAATAATATAGGGAGTAAGTTATTTATTTAATTCTATTATTACTTATTGTTATAATATTTACATATAATTTAAACTATCTAATTTCTTTATTTAAAAAATTATTAAATAATATAGGGAGTAAGTTATTTATTTAATTCTATTATTACTTATTGTTATAATATTTACATATAATTTAAACTATCTAATTTCTTTATTTAAAAAATTATTAAATAATATAGGGAGTAAGTTATTTATTTAATTCTATTATTACTTATTGTTATAATATTTACATATAATTTAAACTATCTAATTTCTTTATTTAAAAAATTATTAAATAATATAGGGAGTAAGTTATTTATTTAATTCTATTATTACTTATTGTTATAATATTTACATATAATTTAAACTATCTAATTTCTTTATTTAAAAAATTATTAAATAATATAGGGAGTAAGTTATTTATTTAATTCTATTATTACTTATTGTTATAATATTTACATATAATTTAAACTATCTAATTTCTTTATTTAAAAAATTATTAAATAATATAGGGAGTAAGTTATTTATTTAATTCTATTATTACTTATTGTTATAATATTTACATATAATTTAAACTATCTAATTTCTTTATTTAAAAAATTATTAAATAATATAGGGAGTAAGTTATTTATTTAATTCTATTATTACTTATTGTTATAATATTTACATATAATTTAAACTATCTAATTTCTTTATTTAAAAAATTATTAAATAATATAGGGAGTAAGTTATTTATTTAATTCTATTATTACTTATTGTTATAATATTTACATATAATTTAAACTATCTAATTTCTTTATTTATTTAATAGATCGTAAGTTATAAGTTATTTATTTAATTCTATTATTACTTATTGTTATAATATTTACATATAATTTAAACTATCTAACTTCTTTATTTAAAAAATTATTTATGATCTAGCTTGTAAGTATTCCTATTGTTATATATTTTATATAATATTTATTTGTTAATTTAATTCTTTCATTTAAAATATCTGTTACTTTAGTTGGTAAGTTGTAAATTATAGATTATTATATGTATTTATCCAAAAACTAAGACTTATATTACATTAAATTCCTATTTAAATTTTAGAGTAAGTAATAAATTATTTTGTATAAATTATAATACAATATACAATATAATTTTAATTATTTAAATTTATAGATTTGGAAAAAGTGGAAATGCAATTTTGGATGATTTTATTGTTAAAAATAGATTAAAATGGTTTCCTCATAACAAATTTAAAAATGTTGAATATCTTAATGAAGGAGGATTTGGTATTATATACAAAGCTACTTGGTTAGAGGATAATGGAGATAAAGAAGTAATTCTTAAATGTCCCAAGAATTTAAATGAAAATTTAAATGAAAATTTAAATGAATTTTTAAAAGAAGTATGATAGTATATTATTTTCTATTATTAATTTAAATTAAAATTTATTTGTATATAATAATAATTATTATTTTTTATAGTGGAAATATCATGCAAGTGTTTTATCTTCAGGTGATATTATAAATGTTTATGGATTCACAGAAGATCCAAATACTTCAAAATATAAGGTAGTAATGGAGTATGCAAATAAAGGTAATTTAAGAGAAAATTTAACAAGAATAGTCGAAATTAATTGGAATCAAAAATTATATATGTTGTACAATATTATTTCTGGACTTAGTAAGATACATGGAGAAAAACTTATTCATTGTGATTTTCATGATGGTAATATTTTAAATCATAATGATAAGAATAAGGATAAAATTTATATTAGTGACTTAGGATTATGTCAACCTGTAAAATCGTTTTTGAAAAAGTATGATATTTATGGTGTTATACCATTTATGGCTCCTGAAGTTTTAAGAGGCAAATTTTACACTCCAGCTAGTGATATATATAGTTTTTCTATGATTATGTGGGAATTTACATCTGGTTTACCACCATTTAATAATAGAGCACATGATATTCAACTTAGTTTAAGTATTTGTAAAGGTGAACGTCCTGAAATTATTGAAAATACTCCACAATGTTATGTAAATTTAATGAAAAAATGTTGGAATGAAGATCCATTAAAAAGGCCATCTACTTCAGAAGTGAAAAAAGTTATTAAGGATTGGATTTACCGTCGTCCTGATGATGATGAATTAAAAAGCAACATTATGGAATTTATAAATGCTCCAATTGGGCAGCATAGCAATCTTGCTATTGAAGCTCATTCACAAGCATATTATACAAGTCGCTTACTTGATTTTACTAGTAAAAAATTGAATGAAATTCTTGAAAGTGAAAATTTGAATGATTGTGCGGTTAAAGATTTGAGAATATTAGGTATATACTATAATATATAAAATATTAATCTTGCAAATTATTTATGTGAAAATGAATTATTTATTTGATTATTTAGATATTAAAGCAGTTGAAAATACTAGTGAAAACTTGAATGAAATTCTTGAAAGCGAAGATTTACAAGCTAATGAAGAAGTAAATGAAATGCTAGTAAGTGAAAATTTGAATGATTATATGATTAAAGACTTGAAGTCATTAGGTATGCAATATAGTACATATAAAATTTAATCTTGCAATTATTTATACAAAATTAATTTTATTTTATTATATTAAAACAGATGAAAATTAACCAATTATATGTGTTTTAAAATGATTTATAGTCTTTTTTTAAGTGATATTTGAATATCATGTATTCAACAAAAATTGCTCTTTATTTTATTCTTTTAGATTTATTTAAACACTAAGGCTAGAGTAGTAAAATGTTTTACAAGTTTCTTAGTTTGTAATTTAAATAATTCTTTTTTTTTTAGATTATGTATTTATATTCACTTTTTTATTATACTTAGAATTATTTAAACACTAAGACTAGAGTAGTAAAATATTTTACAAGTTTCTTAGTTTGTAATTTAAATAAATCTTTTTATAACTTTTCTAATTATGAGATATAAATTATCAAAATAATAATATAAGGCTATTAATATTTGGCAACCCACCTCATATCATGTGATTTTTAATTTTCTGATACTTTATTTTTTCAATATTTATTTTTTTATATGTAAAAATTGAGAAATTTTTGATAATAAACAAACAAATTAATTAATAAATAAATAAATGAGCAAACAATAAACGAATGAATAAATTAATAAATAAAAGCATGAATAAAACAAAAAAAACTATTAAAATATAAGAAAATTAACGTGTATATGTCATAATTGATGCTCATATATTGTATGAAATAACATATAGGCTAATCGGGACTCATTTCACTAAGTAATGATTAGGTGATAAAATTGAGGGATATTACTGGAAAATATCTTACTAATATCACGTGATCAATCGTTTTGCTAAGTAAAATAAAAAAAATTTGTCTAGTTTTTCTAAATAATACAAGTATTTTTTTTTTATTCATTATCAAAGGAAAAAGAAATTAAAATTAATTTGATGTTTGTACTTCGGAAAAAAAATTTCTTGGCATAATTTTTAATATAATTTTTAAGTTATGAATTAATTTTCTTGACATACAGAAGTGTTTTTTTTTGTAAATTTGATCTCAGCACATTCTTCCCAAATTTTTTAACTTTATTATTGAAGTTCACTTTATACAAAAATGCATTCACGAAACAAACACAGAATGAACAGTTATCATTCAACTAGAAATCTAGAATGCCTCACTTTAATTATTGTTTAACAAACAGCAATTTATGCAAATTCAGGATTCATGATATTGTAATTCGAGATATTAGGATTCAGAATATTGGCAGTAAATCGAATTTCAGAAGATTTGGGAAATAAGAATTCAGGAAATTGGATGTTTCAGGAAAATGTCCAGTTTAATGTGACCCGTACAACTGTAATAAGTAATAACGAGACTAATGAAATACAACTAATATGTGAGTATAATATTATTTGCAACTAAAAAAAAATTTAATATTAACTGGTTAAGATTTTTTTGAAAAGTACTAACTTCGAAAATGTAGTAGATAAAGATAGACACATGATAAAAACACATTTTCTTCAAAATCTATTAGTAAAGTTTTTAAGTACAAATACATATAATCATATAAAAAAAATTACTTTAAAATAACCGCTACAGAAAGGGACGCATTTAACTCATCAACAATCATATCATCGATAGCCATTTCATCGATAAGCATTTTGCTGACGGCAATCTCACTGATATATAATTTATAAATATTATGAAATTAAATATAAATTAAATATACTTTCGTATAAAAATACAAAAATTGTTCTTTTTTTAACATGGTTCTAATTTGGTGATTATTATAGCTTCAAATTTTTATTATTATCGCATATCATTTATAGTAATTTTAGCTGGCAAAAACAAAAAAAAGGTAATTTACTTTTCTTTAAAATGAGCAAAATGAACTGTCAAGGTCAATGAAACGTTTATCGCGAAATGAACTGTCAATAAAATGATAGTCAATAAAACATTTATTGCAAAATGACCACCCTATTGGTGAAATATTTGTCGTTGAAGTGATTGTTGGTGAAGTAATTGACGGTAAAATTAACCAGGCTCTATAGAAATAGGATACAGAGAATTAAAAGGACCAAACTAATAAGCTATTATTTTTGATAGTACTGTATCGTACTATACTTTGCAAGTATCGGCACCATCAAAGTGGTATTTCGAGTATCTAATATTTTTAACGTGACATGAAAATGTAAATGTTAACCATGGTGGATCAGTTCGTAAATTACTTAAATGACTTGCGTTACAGTGTGCTGTATATAAGGTTGTGCATGTTATGTTAGTACGGTATATCTGATGATCTGAAACGAAGTTAATTATTGTGGTGTAACATTAGATTTGAAAATCCAAAGATTTATTTGGCTACGATTATCGAATAAAGTTTTAAAGTTTCCATTTTTGGATCTTCTTTATATAAGAACAAGCATTTTATTAAGATCAGTGCGATCATTAGGTATTAGTAATAATATTAAAATCAATATAAGGTTTTATTATTTTATTAACTTGATAAGTGATAACATGAAATTACTAATTTTATATATGGAACATGTTTTCAAGATTAAATCTAATGACAAAATTAACTATACAAATTAACTATTAAAATTCTATATTAGATAGTGTAATTAATAACAATATTCAAAATTAATTAATTAAGTATATAATAACTTAGGTATTGTGTTAAATAGGATTTAAGATTTTCTTTGTGATAAGATGTAAGATGTAAATATAGAAAGTTCTTCTTGTATCTGTTCAACTTCGATACCATAAATATATTTATTCAAATAATTATTAATCGACCCTATAAGAAATATGTATATGGAAAGGATACGTTTTGTATACATTTTATGTACGTTTTTATAGATTCCGTATACAAATTCCGTATATTTAATAAGCAATTCATTTTTGAACATTTTTTAAAAAAACTGATGTATACGAAATGTATACGGAAAAAATTAATCATACGGAATGTATACGGAATTTTTAAACTTAATATTTTTAGAAAATAATTTTACAAAAATCTCGTATCATAACACGAGATCACGTGATTGTTTATTGTTTTGTTATGATACGTTTTTTGTTTTT